ACACTCCACTCGTGTATCGCTCAAGGTGGCAGATACTCTCACAAGCTTTTTCCAAAAAGGAAAATTCTATTCCGGTACTCCAGTTGATATGGATTCAACCTCAAAGTTCAAGAAAACGTACCTTGGAAGACTTCACAAGCCTTTGAGAGTAAGGGTGTATCGCGAGGAAGGTAATAAAATTGAGAGCAAGAAGCAAAGAAAAAGGACAATACAAGCAAAAAAACTAAACAAGATTTGAAAGAAAAAGGAAACCAAAGAAGGAAGTATGACAGAAAGATATGCAAGACCAATATCAAAAGATAGAGACAAATAGAATATAAAAAGGGTTCACGCGTACCACAACCAATTAGGAATCTATCAAGAACTCCTTCCAACCCTATACTTTTCCCCTTCCTTGTCTCTCCAAAATTCTCCTACCAGCCAAATTCTTTCCCCAACCTTATTCTTCTTCTTTATTGCTTTCTCTTTTCTTTTTTTTCTTTTTTTTTTCAACTTTCTTGAATTTTTTTTTTATGATTTTTTTGATAAGTAACCTCCAAATAACTACTGTAAATATCAACAAAAATTTCGGACCAAGAGGATCCACACAACACCTTCAAAACAGAATCAAGAATTTCAAGAATCACCCAGAAAAACAGAAACACTGTCCTTACTTCGAAGATGAATATCTCAATGACCGTAAGGAATTAGCACGTGTATAATATATCAAAAGAACGCCCCAGAAGAGATCTAAAACATATCAAAATTTCAGATAAAACTAACCAGTGGATCTCGAGATATAGGTCATTCTTTGAAACTGGTCACAGAACGCGGAAATCTGGACAGGGTGTGATTGCGACGTTATTGCGCGTAAATGCGCTTTGGATATAGGTAAGGGTGATATGGGGTTGTTTTCTAGACAGAATTTTTGGTAATATGGTGCTTAGGAGGTGTGAGGTATCGTTGATATTGTACGGGAAAAAGGGAAAAATCTTTCGGGATTGTTTTTCAAGAAACTGGAAAACATGTATCAAGATTCAAGAACACAATCAAGAATGCAAAGGAAATTTTTTTTTTAGGGTTTTTTAATGAATAAGACACGAATAAAAGTAGTATGTAAGATAAGAACGAGATAAACCTAGGGAACCAAAGAAACCAAATTTCTAATGATAATAATGAGATAAACCTAGGCTCTGAATACCAAATTGATATGAACCTAGTCCTGGGTTCAAATAAATATGGAATATTGTCCCAAGAATGCTCTCAATGTAAAGATAGAGATGGATCGAAATACCTTAAACCTCACGAGAAACCCTTTGTCTCGAATCCTCAAAGACTTGGAAGAATCCCATTGTAGCTTCAAGTACCTCGATGTTGCAATCTTCAATCAACTAGAGTCGGATCTAGTTTCCTTCGATTCAAGAACGAGTCCACGAACCTAAATCTAAGGTTGAAGAAAGTAAGATTGATTTGAGTCCACGAATCAATTTGCTAGTCGAGTCCACGACTAGTCACTAATTGAGTCCACAATTAGCTATAAGGTTTCTTACACAAGTGTAAAGAAAAACTTAAGAATTTTATTGAATTAAAGTCTCTTTCAAACTGATATGGATGTGCCCTATTTATAGGTATAGGGCAGCATTGTAATCTAAATACAATAGGAAAAAGAGTCCTAAACCTAATCTAGAAAACAAGTAAATAGAGTTTTATTTAGAAAAGGATTGAAGGAATCCTTTCTAAATACAACTAGTGTTTTCTCTTTTATGCCAAACAATTTAAATTAATGATGACCAAAAATAATAGGGCTGATTTGGGCCTAATTTAATCACCAAAATCAGCACTTAAACAATTATAAAAAGCCTTGAAATCTTCTTCATCTTTTGCAAATGGGCTTGACTTGGATTTCCGCCATCTTTGAATATCACCAATGAAGAGTTGTCTTAATCGTTTGGACTTGGGCCTTGTGATTGGCCCAATTGGTACTCTTGATGGATCTTCATTATGTTGGGCTGCATCAGGGCACACACAATTGCACCTAACTGTTGCACCTTGAGAAAGGGTAATTATGATGCTTGTTCTTGTTTTATTGGGTGTTTATACCACGAGAGTGGATATTCACTAGTGTTAGTGATTACGAGAGTATCTCTATACCACTTTGCATCCTCACACCCGTTTAAACCCATATTTAATATTACATTAGGTTAGGCACTAGGTGATTAAACACTTGAATCACAGGAATCTCATTTTCTCTCTTTATTGTTTTCAAAACCTGAATCATTGCTTTAATTTATTTAGTTATTGCAACCATCCAAGTCAATCGCTAGGATTAGCTTTATAGGATAAATTAGTAATTGGTTCTTAATACAACCACTTCCCTGTGGATCGATTACCCGATACTCCGGGTATTATTTGTTTGCAAATATACTACAATCACACTTATTGGTAAAGGTAGATGGCAGGCTGCTCAGCTAGCACCGCAAGCTGCTTTCCCCGGGAGGTTGTCTAATTCTCATCAAACATGTCTTATCAATTATTCCACTATATACAACAGCTTCTATTCCTTTGTCGCGCCAGACTAAAAAAGCCTTGGAGTCTAAATTCGCCAATTTCTTTTGGGGCACGACCGAAGGCAAGCCAAAATGGAAAAGGGAGGCTTGGGAGTCCGGTCACTAGCTGTTATTCAACAAGCTCTCTCAGCAAAACTCTATTTTAATTTGTTGCAGGGAGGATCGTTGTGGAGTGATTTTATGCATGCCCGATAACCTGATCGTCTTGTTCGGGCTACAGATTCGATCATATAGAGGCGCATGCAACAGGTTAAAGACTTTGTTTGTGACAATATTGTGGATATATCAGGGTCTCTGGTCTGGTCATTGTAATCTTTCAGAGACTACTCTTTCTCTTCAACTTATGACGCTCTTAGACCATGTTGAGATTAACAAGAACAAGAAAAATAATAATGGCAGAAAGGTAAAGAAGACAAGATTTACGTGGTTTGGCAATGTGCCTACATCCACGGGAGTGAAAGTATTCTCTTATTATTTGTGATGGTGATCCAGGTGATGAGATACATTGATTATATTTATAGGCATATAATCTCCCTTTCACTCCTATTCCTTATATGAGACAAACTCATATTCCTAATCCTTATATGAGACAAACACAACAAATCTCCACCTTGGCGAATATGCTCTGTAGGAGAAAAGATAACTCAACAAATCTCCACCTTGGCGAATAAGCCCTTTAGGAGAAAATACTTATCTAACCATCTCCACCTTTGCAAATAAGCCCTTTAGGAGAAAAAACACATCTCATAGTCTCCCTGGATTAGGACCACCCTGTTCATTTAACATCTGGAAACACCCAACAAGTCCAAACAATATTTGAACTTGTCACTAGTAACTGCCTTTGTCAACATGTCTGCTGCATTCTCACTTGTATGAATTTTCTGCAACAAAATCTCACCAGAAACAACCAACTCTCTAACCTTATTAAACCTTACATCAATATGTTTGGTTCTGGCATGGTACACTTGATTTTTAGCTAAGAAGATGGAACTTTGATTGTCACAGTGTAATTGAACTCCATCTTGCTCAATACCCAACTCCTTAATCAAACCTGAAAGCCACAAAGCCTCTTTAGCTGCCTCAGTCACAGCCATGTATTCTGCTTCAGTTGTAGACAAAGCTACAATAGACTGAACTGATGATCTCCAGTAAATTGGACCACCCCCAAGATTAAAAACATACCCTGTTGTAGAACGTCTATTATCCATGTCACCAGCATAATCAGAATCCACATATCCCATGAGTACATGCTCATTCTATTGACTCCCAAATATAATACCATGCTCCATATTGCCCCTTAAGTACCGGAGAATCCATTTAACTGCCTCCCAATGCTGCTTCCCAGGTTTAGACATGTACTTACTAACTTGGCTAACAGCATGAGCCAAATCAGGTCGAGTACAAACCATTGCATACATTAAACAGCCAACTGCACTAGCATAAGGAACCTTTGCCATATTTTCAATCTCACTAACTGTTTGAGAACACTGACTAGATGAGAGTTTAAAATGATTAGCCAAAGGGGTACTAACCGGTTTAGACTTACTCATCCCAAACCTTTCAAGAATTTTCTCTATATAACTCTGTTGAGTTAGCCATAACTTTCTTGCACCTCTATCCCTGTGAATTTCTATGCCAAGAATTTTCTGTGCAACTCCTAAGTCTTTCATATCAAATTCCTGACCCAACAACACTTTCAATGCAGTAATATCATTCATACTCTTAGCAGCAATCAACATATCATCCACATACAGTAATAGAAAAATAAAAGAACCATCACCAAGGCTTTTAACATAGACACAAGAATCATACTCACAACGTGTATAGCCAATTTGAATCATGTAAGCATCGAACCGCTTGTACCACTGCCGTAGAGCCTGTTTCAGCCCATACAAAGACCTCTTGAGTCGACAAACCAGATGCTCACCTCCGAGTTTAACAAACCCTTCAGGTTGCTTCATGTAAATTTGCTCATCTAGATCACCATGTAAAAAAGCAGTTTTGACATCCATTTGTTCCAAATGCAAATCCCAAATGGCTACCAAAGCAAATACTAATCTGATAGAAGTATGTCTAACAACAGGAGAGAAAACCTCATCATAATCTATCCCCTTCTGTTGAGAAAACCCCTTCACGACTAACCTAGCCTTAAACCTTTCCCCTTCTTTTTCTGATACTGGTGGCTTCTTCCTATAGACCCACTTGCACCCTATAGCCTTTTTTTCCTTGAGGAAGTTGAGCTAACTCCCAAGTATGATTACGATGTAAAGACTCCATCTCTTCAATCATACCTGCCATCCATTTATCTTTCTCCTAGCTAGAAATAACCTCTTGAAAGGTAACTGGATCATTATTAGAAACAAGAAGTGTAAAAGAAAACATATCCTCAAACCCATACCTACTAGGTGGCTTGACATTGGTGCGTCTTGGTCTATCTCTAGCGAAACTGTAATCTTGTAAATTTTCTGAACTCGAACCTGCTGCAGATGTAGAATCTGCAACTTCTTGAGTCTCAATCGTAGGTGGATTAACTACTTTCTCACTCAAAGGTACACGATCTACATCCACTTCTACTGTTCTAGAACCATCAACTAGTGTATCCTTTTTCTTTGGCTGGAACATGAAATTCTCATCAAACACTGCATCTCTGCTAATCACCACCTCTTTGGTTGCAGGATCCCAAAACTTATATCCTTTTACACCTTTCTTGTAACCCAAAAAGATGCACTTCTTTGACTTGGGATCTAACTTTGATCTCTCATCACCTAGAATAAGAACATAGTTAGGACAACCAAAAACTCGTAAGTGATCAAAACTCACATGATTACTTGACCAAACCTCCTCAGGAACATTGCTACCAAGTGATGCTCGTGGTGATCTATTGATCAAGTAACACGCCATGTTCACTGCTTCTGCCCAAAAACACTTAGAGAGCCCAGCATTCAATCTGAGACACCTTGCTCTCTCTCAGCAATGGTTCTATTCAGCTGCTCAGCAACACCATTCTGTTGTGGTGTCTTACGCACTGTATAGTGCCTTTGAATTCCATGTTCTGCACAGAATTTCTGAAATTATTTCTTAGTATATTCTATCCCGTTGTCAGACCTCAAGTACTTGATTTTTCTTCCAGTCTGGTTCTCAACCTCAGCTTTCCACAACTTAAATTTCTCAAACACTTCAGATTTATGTTTCAAGAAATACACCTAGACTTTCCTAGAAAAATCATCAGTAAATGTAACATAATATCGAGAGCCACCCATTAAAGGTTCCCTGGTAGGTCCCCAAACATCAGAATGCACATAATCCAGAATCCCTTTAGTTTTATGCTGCCCAGTAGAAAAACTGACTCTAGTCTGTTTCCCAAGGACACAGAACTCACAGAAATCTAACTTACAACATTTAACTCTTTTTAACAGATTCCTTTTGTGCAAATCAGACAAACCACGTTCACCAAGGTGACCCAAACGTAAATGCCACAACCTAGTAGTATCATCACTAGACTCAACAGAATGTGTTCCACCTACAACAGTACTACCCAACAACCTATAAATGTTCCCTGTGGTCCTTTTCCCTTTCATCACAGTTAAAGCACCCTTACTAATTTTAATGGTTTCCTTATCACTCTCAAACTTATGAATAAAACCATTAGCATGCAAACTGCCAAGAGAAATCAGGTTCTTAGTTAATCCCGGTATATGTCTGACATCATGCAAAGTTCTGACAATACCATCATACATCTTTATGTTAACATCACCAATACCTATGATATTATGACATCTATCATCACCCAGAAAAACAGAACCGAAAGTACCTGACTTATAGGTTGTGAACCACTCCCTGTTAGGTGTAATATGATAAGAGCATCCTTAGTCTAGAATCCAAGCATCTGACAACTTACTCGATGAAACTGCTAGAACATCACCTTCACTATAATCTGAGTCATCAGCATGCACCACGTTCGCCGCTTCTTGTTGTTTTTTCAACTTTGGACAGTCTCTCTTAATGTGTCCAATATCATTACACTTGTAGCACCGGATTTTCCTGCTATTTCTGGACTTAGACCTGGAGTTTCTCCTCCCAGAATTACCTTTCTCTTGCTTCCTTCCACGATCCTAACCCTCTTTAACATACAAACTTTCACCAACAGACGATCCATCTCCTACACTCTGCATGCGCTTATTATGAGCCTGCAGGGCCGCAGAGATCTCACTGTATTTAATCGTGTTTTTCCCGTATGTTAGAGTAGTCACCAGATGTTCAAAGGAAAAAGGTAATGAACATAGCAAGATCATCGCCTTGTCTTCATCTTCAATCTTGACATCAAGCCTGGCAAGATCTTAGATTATCTGGTTGAAGACATTAATATGATGCACCAAGTCTGAACCCTCCTGCATCTTAAGCCTATAAAGCCTTTGCTTTAGATACAATTTGTTTGTTAGAGATTTTTCCATGAACTGAGTTCTAATTTATCCCAAATTTCTTTTGGGGCTTCCAGGGCCATAACGTGATACACAATTCCATCGTCCAGGCATAGCCGAATGGTTCCTGCCGCACGCTCCTTCAAATCCTCCCAATCATTCTCTTCCAGATTAGCTGGCTTTTCCGCCTTCAAAGTTTTCAGAAGACCCTGTTGTGCTAACAAATCCTTTACCCTAGACTGCCATAACCCAAAATTTCCTGTACCATCAAATTTTGATACCTCGAATTTTGTACTTGAACTGGTCATCTCAACAGTGCTCTGATACCAATTTGTTGAGATTAACAAGAACAAGAAAAATAATAATGGCAGAAAGGTAAAGAAGACAAGATTTACGTGGTTCGGCAATGTGCCTACATCCACAGGAGTGAAAGTATTCTCTTATTATTTGTGATGGTGATCCAGGTGATGAGATACATTGATTATATTTATAGGCATATAATCTCCCTTTCACTCCTATTCCTTATATGAGACAAACTCATATTCCTAATCCTTATATGAGACAAACACAACAGACCAAAAGCTGGGTGCACTCTCTCGTCTGATTGCATTTAGAATAGCCTTATCCCGTCAAAAATTTCTGTGTTTATGTGGAAGCTTCTCCAAGGCCTTCTGCCGTTCCCAGATATTATTCAATGCTTTGGTTACAGTTTGCCCTCCATATGCCCTTTATGTCTTCAGGATAGCGTTGTTCTTGATCACTGTCTCGATCACTATAACCGCGCTCAAGAGGTGTTGAGGCACTTTAGAGGGCTTTTCGATTTGACGTCTTCCGATGCTTCCTCGGTGCGGGCTGAATGCCACGCATGGTGGTTGCTTGTGGCTCTAGGATCGGTGAAACAAAGCTTTGTGTGTCTCATGTCGAGCCATATTCTCTGGTTCTTGTGGGTCTCCTACAATGAGTGCGTTCATGATGACACGGCATTCGCGGCATTGGGTGTTATAAAGAGGATCAAACGAGAATCCTTACTGATCTCCCTCTCTAGACCACTTCGCTCTAAGGGTCCCCAGGATGCTTTTTTCTTAGCAGATGGTCTGACTGCAAGGTTCAGTTCTCCGCCCCGAACTGAGACGATTTGGGTTAAATGGCTCGCACCGCCTACAGGGAGATTGAAGCTTAACACGGACACTATCGGAGTCTGCCGTTGCGGGTGGCGCTTGTCTAAGAGATTCTAGCTGCCAGATCTTAATGGGTCTGTCTTACCGCTTAGATGCATCGTCAGCTCTTGAAGCTGAGGCGCGATCCTTGCAGATTGCCTTCCAGTGGCGTGAAGCAATGGCCAAGAGGCCTTTTATCGTAGAGGTGGACTCCCTCACTCTCGCTAGCTTGGCTGCCTCTAAAGCTACAAGGATCCCATGGAAAATCAAAGAAGCAATTCTCTACATTCGCTCTTGCCTGGTGACCTGGGGCTCCTCAGTTAGACATGTCTACCGGAAACCCAATCATGTTGCAGAGGCTCTCGCGACGGTTAGTATTAGCGTTAGTTCCTCTCAGATTTTTTGCTCGTTCAATTCTTTGCCTATAAAGGCCATGTAGGCTCTCATGTATGATTTTAGGGGTTTTGCCTCCCTTTGGACAATTCGCTGCTCATAAAGCTCTCGTTATTTGATTAAAAAAAAAAAAAAGAAATTATACACTTATTTTTTTAAATATTGTTTTCATAATTTTTAAATTCAAAATTTTGTTTTTAATTATTAACAAAACTTTGAGAAAATGGTCAAATAGGCCCCTAAACTTTACCCCAAAGGTCAATTAGGCCCTTAAACTTTAAAAAAGTTCAATTAAACCCTCAAACATGTCAAATTGGGTTGAAGCCCAAAAACCGGTAAATGACCTGTTATTACAGGTCATTTTAGTTCCAGCGATGGATTCCGGAAACTAGAGACGAATTTCGGCCACCGGCGAAAAAAATTCTGCCGTTCGGTCATCTTCCACTGGAGAAGACGACCGGACGGCCGCCTTCTCCATTGGAGAAGACAACCAGACGGCTTGATCGGAGAAACGAGAAGCGAAAAACGCATAGCAGGCATATACGTTTAGAAAAAAAATACGAAACAAAAAATAATACGAAGGCGAAAGAAGAAAAATACCAAACAAAACTAATAAAAATTCCATGTCAGATATTTTCAAAAAAAAAAAATTCATGTCAGCAATATTATTAATGATAACCTGTAGGAAACCTGTAAAAGGTTCTAGACAAAAAAAAAAATTATGATTTATGGGTCTAAATATCACATATTAAAGATTATGGTGTGACATGAATAGTCAGGAATGGTTCATGGTGCGGGATGACACTTTAGCCAAAAAAATAAAAATCAATGCGAACAGCATTCAAGATTAGGGATCTTGGTGAACCTAGTTTCTTGCTAGGGATTGAAATAATCAAGTGTAAGGATGGAATTTTGCTCTCTCAGCAAAGATACATGACAGATATCTTAAAACGTGCTGGCATGACAGATTGTAAACCTCTTGTCACCCCTATGTCTGCTTCTAAACCCGCTGTCTCCCATGCGGATTTATATGAAGATGCCACACACTATAAAAGTCTGACAGGTGCATTACAATATCTTACAGTTACCCGCCCAGATTTGTCCTTTGTAGTAAATCATCTATGTCAGCACATGCATGTGCTTACCGTCTCGTATTGGGAACAATTGAAACGTGTTCTAAGGTATGTAAAGGGAACTATCACTTCTGGTTTGCGAATTCGCAGATCAGTATCCAGAGAATTACATGCTTTCTCATATTCCGATTGGGCTGGCGATCCTGAAGATCGTAAATCAACCAGTGGGTATGTAGTTTTTCTTGGTTCTAATTTTATATCGTGGGTATGCAAGAAGCAACGGACTATTGCTAGATCATCTACTGAAGCCGAGTGTAAAGCTTTAGCAGATGTCTGTGCCGAGGTAATCTGGACTCTCTCGCTCCTACAAGAAATCGGCATAACCAACAATTTCCAGCAGGTGGGCGATAGGTGATGGACCACCCGCCGGTGGGCATCCCTAATCCAGCGGGTGCCCGGCGGGCAGTCGACTGCCCGCTGGAATCGGGCTGCATGGGCAGCGGGTAGGTGGTGGGGACTCGTCACCCCACTGGTACGAAGGTAGATTTCCCAGTTCGGGGTTTGTTCATGGAACCCAAAACCCTGTCCAAACACATTCCAACACGTAACGACAACATCATGGATTCAATTAACAAAGATTAAACCAAGGATCGTTCCAATTACATTCTAACACGTTTCCTAAACATGCCAAGACTCGACATCAATCACATAACGGTTCAGGGGCATCCGAACCTCAAGAACATCAAGAAATCTATATGCAAAGCCCTAAAGACAAGTCATAGGCTAGACTCAACACCCGAGCATGCATAAACCCATCCAATAACCCCAAGAATATCATAACACGAGATTCACGATATAAACCCTAGGGACAAGCTCTAGACATAATTAAATATAAGATCACACATATAATCAATCACAACATCAAGATTATCAAGATTATCAAATAAACACAATATAAACCCTAGGCAAAGCTCTATCAAGACTTAATCACAGAATCACACGTCAAAGGGGCCAATAATCAAGATATCGCAAGGAAAATAGGTTTTGTAAGACATGGGTTACCTCTTAGCCTTAATTAATCCTTACTTGGCTATTAAGGTTCTTCTCTAAGATTTCCATCCGATTGATCTCCCTATGCTTGGTGGTGGGGAATATCTTGGGAATAATTTCGTGTAACACCCCTAATTTGTTAACAATTAAAAGCTTATATAAATAACGCAAACCATCATTAATCATCCCAAACAGAGCATAGATAATCCGTAAGAGTCGAAGTGTTATGCCACATCTAGGTTTGAGAACCTAGATGCACAGGTTAGACTAACTGAACAAGGCATAAATCATAACTACTATCCACAATACAATACAAGGCACTAAGTTAGGTCCACGAGTTCATCTAACGCGCTCCGAAGCTACTGATCTGCACCTGAAAAACATACAGTGTAACAACCGTCAGCGAATAATGGTGGTAACCCACTCCAACGCGTTAAGTACAATATAGGTAGATATAAGAAAATCATTTTGAAACTGGAATACGTATATATCCTAAATAACTCTAGCTTTAAACCAAGATCAAGGCTCGAGACACAACAATAGACTAGACACTATAGAACAATCATAAGGACTAGCATGCACCCTAAGAACACGAGACGGGGCATAATAGACAAGTAAGCTCATAAATAGCAAATAAAGGCAACAAGGGGATTCAAGGACAATCAATTAGCAAGTAATCATCAAAGCACACAATCCATCTTCCAACCTTATACCAAGTTCCCAACATTTTCACTCCACTCCATCCTTATTTCAGTTCCAACCTGTACCTCTAGGACACCCTTATACCTCCTTCCTTATTCCTCCGGAGCAACTACATGCTCCACTCTGTAACCACCAACAAGTCCACCAACATGGTAGCACCGAAGTGTCATTCGCATGGTCCGTGCCTCTAGCACCAATACCAAGGGGTCAGCGCATATAGCTCTAACATGACACCGCGGTGCTTATACCCTGACCCAAGCCTTTAGCTAGCAAGTCTAAGGGGTGGTTTGTGCCTTTAGCACAATAACCGAGCACTCGTTGTGCTTTCCGCCAACAATTCATCTCCACCAATCACAATCTCATCATCATCAGTCACATCGATCATTGCGTAATGACCATGGTACTCATCATAATTCAATCAATCAATCATGTAATCAACAATAACAGTCAAGGCACATAAACAAACGACACACGCACTACACGTAAATTCCTAGAACGGTACTCAAAACATCGTACGAAACTCACAACCATCAAACGGGGTACAACTGGACACGGGAAAACGACAAATGGGGAAAAACACCCCACCACACCCCGCCATTCCAGCGGGTGCCCGGCGGGCAGTCGCCTGCCCACCGGCTGCCCGTTGGAACTGGGCAGCGTGGGCAGCGGGTAGGTGGTGAGGATTCGTCCCCCCACTGGTACTAAGGTAGAAAATCCGGTTCGGATTTGTTCGTAGAACTCAAAACCTGGTCCAAACACATTCTAATCACGTAGCAACAATATCACGGAATCAATTAACGAAGATTAAACCAAGAATCATTCCAAATACGTTCTAACATGATTCCTAAATATACCAAGACCCGACACTAATCACATAACGGTTCAGGAGCATCCAGAACCTCAAGAACATCAAGAAATCTATATGCAAGCCCTAAAGACAAGTCCTAGGCTAGACTCAACAACGATCATGCATAAACCCACCCAAGAATACCAAGAACGCCACAACAACGAGATTCACGATATAAACCCTAGGAACAGGCTCTAGACATAATTAAATACAAGATTACACATATGATCAATCACAACATCAAGATCACCAAGATTATCAAATAAACACAGTATAAATCCTAGGCAAGGCTCTATCAAGACTCAATCACAGAATCACACATACAATTATCAAAGGAGCCAATAATCAAGATATAGCAAGGAAAATAGGTTTTATAAGACATGGGTTACCTCTTAGCCCTAATCGATTCCCTTGGCTACTAAGGTTCTTCCCTAAGATTCTTCTCCCAATTGATCTTCCTAAGCTTGCTGGTGGGGGATTTCCTCGGCTGGATTTCCTGAGAGTATTTTCGAGTAAGTAGGAGGTGAGGAAGGGTTCTATCTGCTTCCTAATCTTCTATTTATATGTTTAAGGAAAACCTATTCAGAGTCATAATTATAAGGCCCACTTTCCTTATTCCCTACGGGCTTAAGGTTTCTAGTTCAGGCAAAGGTCCACGATCCATCAAGGATCGCATAGATTAATTAAGAGAATTATAATTGTGTTAAATCCCTGTTAATTATTTTAATTAACGGAATTAATTTAATAATTAATTCGGATTTGAAGGTCGTAACACGGGGTGTTACAATTGTTAGATCATCTACTGAAGCCAAGTGTAAAGCTTTAGCAGATGTCTGTGCCGAGGTAATCTGGACTCTCTCTCTCTCTCCTACGAGAAATCGGCATAACCAATGTGCCCACTCCCAAGCTTTGGTGTGATAATCGTGGAGCTACATATATGTGTGCGAACCCTATTTTTCATGCTAGAACCAAGCATATAGAAATTGACTACCATTTTGTTAGAGACAGAGTTGCAAATGGTGATATACAGGTTAACTTTATTTCAACCAAGGATCAGTTGGCAGATATCTTTACAAAGGCTCTACCTGGTTCTCGGTTCTCATTTCTTAGGGATAAGCTACAAGTCACCAGTGTATCTTGTGCTTGAGGGGGAGTATTAGGACTCTATGTATTTGTGTTTGATTATGATTCCCTATCTCAGTCTCTCTGAGACTTCCTTCTTATATATACCTGTAAAACGTACATTGTATTATTGCTATTGAATACACAACTCTATTAGCTCTCATCAGCTTTACGGATCCTTGACTTTTTGAAAAATGACATTTTGGAAGTTACTATTACAACATTCCAAGACTTAACTATTGTAAGGTTACTTATCAAATTTAGTTTACTTTCCAGAATTTTTACTTTCTGGTTAGTAAAGTTCATTCTAAAAGTTGACCTTTCGAATTTACATGAAAAATTTCTTTAAGTCTAGAAATAAAAAATAATTGGGGACATAAATTTATCAAACTATTTGGTATCATCAAAATCTACTTAATATACTTGTTCCTAACATAAGTAAATCTCACCTATGAGAGGTAGGACTCTTTTTCCTAGGTGACTAAGAATCTATCAAATTCATTTAATTACGTATTTATAATTTTCGACGTCAAAGTTAAAAGTTTTTTGTAATAGATTATGATATGCCAAATTGTAATTTGTAGAACTCCCAATTTTATTTGATTAAGTCTAGCTGTGTCATAGACCATGAACGGAAAATTATTTAATAGATTAAAAAGAGAAAAACAGGGGAAGATGTATGCATATGATATGTATACTTAAAGTCTCATCCACTCACCAAATTCGAAGAAGAAGATGACGTGAATTGAAGATTGCATGAAGCTACCATGGAGATCAAGTATTTGAGAAAAGAAAGGAGTACATCAAGAAGAATAGCATATTAACCAAAAGGTTGTATGGATGGAGTGGTTAGAAAGTTGATATATTAATTTAAATGTTTTAGGTTCGAATCTCATCAACTACAATTTTACAAGGTAAATTTTAAAGACGTCAAATTGTGAGATGAAGTTTGGGCGAAGGTTGGCCGAATGAGATGGGATTACAATGAAATTGAATATTGGGCAGTGAAGTTTGGGTAGCAACTAGCGATTGGCATTGGGATGCAATTTCAAAATTGAAATGATGAGAAGAAGTATTGGGTATCGATTGGAATGAGAAGAATGATATATGGGGCAGATGAAGAAGTTTGGGAGAAGAAGTATTGGGTATCAATTGGAATGAGAAGAATGATGGGGCAGCAATTTGGGCGGAGATTTCAAATAAGGTGAGATAAAATTACAATGGGGTGATGAGAAGAAGTATAGTATTGGGTATTGGAGTGAGAAGAATGATGGGGCACATGAAGTTTGGGTAGCAATTGGTATTGGAAAGCAATTTCAAAATTGAAATGATGAGAAGAAGTATTGGGTATCGATTAGAATGAGAAGACTGATGGGGCAGCAAGTTTGGGTGGAGATTTCAAATAAGGTGAGATAAAATTACAATGGGCGAAGATTTCAAGTCTATGGGATGAGATTGCAAGTCAAGACTCTCTGGGATGAGATTGCAAGTCAAGATTCCTTAGGATGAGATTGCAAAGTCAAGATTCCTTCTGGGGCTCAATTGGAGATGAAATACAGCAAATTCTAAAGTGTAGCCGTCATATTGAGAAGAAGTATGAGCTGAAGTTATAAAAGGAAAGTGACTAGTCCAAAATAGAAAGAGACTAGATTGGAGCAAAAATTTTGAAGATTAAATTTTCCAGTAGGCGTGAT